ACATTGCACCTGATCCTTCCGCGCCGCGCCACCCCGTCTCGCGCCGCGCCACCACGCCTCGCGCCGCGGCGAGGTCTTCTGCCGCGCCGTGCCGTCTGTTTCGCACCGCGATGAAGTACTGTGTCGCGCCCGGTGGAGCCTCGCGCCGCGGCGCCTGATATGTTGAACGTCTTTTGAAATATTAAACTGATCGCTACAAAATAGGAGGGGTAGGGTTTTCAGAAGGGATTCAGCACTTTTCTTTTTTCTCTGGTTTTATCAGACGAAAACTTGTTCCTTTTATCTTGGCTTATCTTTGAGATTTTTGGGAGTGACACCCAAAGATTTTGATCGTGGATTCAGATTGTGCTTGAGATTAACACTCTTTATTTATCTATCGTAAGTTTTCTTCTCATTTGACTATGAGTTTGGGATATTTACTGTATACAATATTTTGTGTTCATTCTTGACATGAGTGGCTAAATCCTTGAGCTAGGGATAGGGGATGATTACTCGTGTTTGTGTGTTTACCTTGCTTACGATTTTTGTTCGATCTATTCGAGTTGAATTAAACCTAGGTCAGATGCTTAATCACCATCCTGACCTATTTAATTGACGTGTAGAACCGAAAGGGGAGAAGTCGATCGATCTAGGCTCGATTAGAGTAGGCTTGTTCGTGATTGTATTTCCTATGTGTTGTTTGATTGGTTTGATTTACCGTCTATGTTTTCCCTCTTGTTACGAACAGTTACTGAGGATTAAACTCTAGACGTGTAGGTTGATCGAATTATTTAACTGAACAGTCTTAGCTTGGTATTTACATTGGATTCGAGAGCAATCATTCCTGATTCCCTAGAATTCTCATACTGATAAGTAACTCGTTTTAAGTCATTTATAATCGTTCATTTGCGTTATCCGAGAATTAGTAGTCGATAATTAAAAATCAAAATCATCGTATTAGAGTGTTTAGGAAATTAATTTCTTCTTCTTGCAATTGAATATACGTACGAAATAATCCGGCTAACCTTCCTTGAGACACGACCTGGGGATTGAATCATTTGGTTTAACTCCGGTAAAAATAACTACAACAAATTTGGCGCCGTTGCCGGGGAAGGTTTAGGTCTTATTTAGTGCTCCTATTCATTTTGTTTTTAGTGTTTCTCTTGTTTCTTGTGATTTTTCTTGTTTCCGTGTTTCTCTTGATTTCTTTTTATTTGTTAGGTGTTAGTTCTTGTTTTATTTTGTTTTTATTTTGTTTTTATCATTGGTGCTCGTAACCCTTGTTGGTCTTAGTGTATGCGTACCAGGAGTGGACGTAAATTGCTATCTCCGATCAACAAATCAGTCAACGAGAGCCTGAGGGAGCTGCTGGAAGAGCTTACTCTCGAATCTAACGAAGGAGACGAGCACTCCCCGAAATCGTCAGAAGGCAGTGACGTCGACATGGACGAACAACAGCAACATCCGCCTCGTAACACCCTCCGAACCTTAGGCCAGCCGATTATCGGGCCAGTCACTTCGTGTATCCGTTTGCCAGATCCCGCACAGAATTATGAGCTAAAAATGATTCACTACAACCAGCTGCCGGCATTCCATGGGCTCCCGAGCGAAGACCCGCTTAACTTCATCCGGGAATTCTACAATGTCCTCAACACCTTCCCCCTGGACGGGCTGAATGAGGATCAGTTGAAGATGAGGTGCTTCCCCGAGACATTGAAAGACCGGGCCAAGGCCTGGTTCATGACACTTGCACCGGCATCTCTGACTACCTGGACCGAGGTTTACACGAAGTTCATTGGGAGGTACTACTCCCATCAGAAGACTCAGGAGCTCCGGTCACAGATCGTCTCGTTTGCCCAACTACCGAGTGAGCCTCTTCACGAGGCCTGGGAGCGATTCAAGGATCTCCAGCGGCAGTGTCCCCACCACAATCTTTCACCGGGACTACTGATGAATTGCTTCTACGACTCCCTCAACCAGAATTTGCAATATATGGTTGACAACGCTGCGGGGGGAGACATCGGTGCAAAGACGGCCGAAGAGATGTATGAGATCTTTGAGACGATGAGTGCTAACTCGTCTCAAAAGAGCAATCGAGGGAAAAGGGTCGTGGTCAACGAGGTATCTTCTGCTCAAGATATGATGGCCCATCAAATAGCCGAACTCACAGAGCAAATGCGGCTAATGAATGCACGAGGAGGCCAGTCAGTGCACACCATGGCAGTAGACACATGCGGGGCATGTGGAGTTCAGGGGCATAGATCCGAGGTGTGCCCATCGGCGTTTGACCAGGAGGTAGGAGAACAGTATACAGATGTCAATGCCTTCCAAGGTTATCAAAACCGGCAGCCCAATGACCCCTGTTCCAACACGTACAATCCCGGGTGGAGAAATCACTCACATTTCTCGTGGTCCAACAACAACAACACCCTCCAGCAACCTCGTCCAAACTTCAACCAACAACAGCCCCGTCCAAACCTCATGCAACAGCAAACCCGTCCCAACTTCATCCCCCGTCCGAGCTACCAACAACAACAGCAACCACAACAGCAACCCCCGTCTCGAGACGCAAGTGGGTCAGCTTGCCTCGAGAGTCGGGAACATGGAGGCTGAGTCAGACAAGGGGAAACTTCCGAGCCAGCCCGAGCAAGCAAAGGCGATAACAGTGTTGAGGAGCGGGAAGGAAGTGGACAACAAAGTGAGAATGCCCGAGCCTGATGACCCCAAACCAACCGACCAGCCCAAAGAAACCGAGGAGAGTACGAAGAGCACAGGAACTGACTCGGGAAAACCAACAGAGAGTCCTTTGTTACACAAGTCTCCAAATCCTTACAAGCCACGCATCCCTTTTCCGAGTAGACTCCGAGACGAGAAGCAAGAGCAACAATTCCGAGATCTCTACAACATGCTCTCAAAGGTCAACGTCAACTTACCTCTCCATGACGTGATCAAGAACATGCCTTCTTACGTGAAGTTGTTCAAGGACTTAGTGACGAAGAAGAGGAAATTTGGAGACGGGGAGAAGGTAGTGGTTTACGAGGCTGCAAGTGCTATGCAGCATGACCTTCCGAAGAAAGAATGAGATCCCGGAGGCTTCGTGATTCAAATAGCCCTCGGAAACGGAAAGAAAGCTTCAGGGATGCTGGATCTTGGAGCTGGAATCAACCTCATGCCTTTCTCTATCTTTCAGCGGCTCGGCCTAGGAGACTTGAGGCCCACCCGCATGTGCCTTCAGCTCGCAGACCGTTCTATCAGATTCCCCAAAGGGGTAGTGGAAGATGTCCTGGTTCGTGTGGGGAAACTTATCGTCCCGGTGGACTTCGTTGTTCTAGATGTGGGGAACGTACAGGAGAACGGGAAGGATCACACAATCCTTCTGGGCAGACAATTCATGGCCACCACCAACACCCTCATCGATGTGAAGAACGGGACATTGAATATGATGGTCTTGGGCGAGTCTGTTTCTATTTCAGTCCGAGAAGCCGCATCTGCATCCTCAGTGAACTTTGTGGAGGAGTGCGCCTTCGTTAATATAACCGACCCATTTGTGGAAGAGACGACTATACGTGACTATGAAGAGTGGACAATTCTCGATCTAGAAGATGAAGGAGGGCCAACTATTGAGCTTTGTGCAGCCGACGAGTTCCACACACGGACTCCACCCACTCTAGAGCTCAAGGAACTACCCCGTCACCTCAAATATTTCTTCCTTGATGACGAGAAGCAAAAGCCGGTTATAATTTTTGCCGAGCTTAATGGTGACGAGGAGAAGGAGTTGATTGATGTACTCAAGAAGAATCAAAAGGCGATTGGATGGAGTCTCAGAGACATTAAGGGAATCAGCCCCTCCACATGCATGCACCGGATCATTCTAGAAGAGGGTGCCAAGCCATTTCGGGACAGCCAGCGGAGACTCAACCCGAACATGATGGAGGTGGTGAAGAAGGAGGTGTTAAAACTCTATTCCGAGGGACTCATATATCCAGTGGCAGACAGCGAGTGGGTCAGCCCGATCCATGTGGTGCCGAAGAAAGGGGGTATCACGGTGATAGAGAATGAGAAGAAGGAGATGGTCCCCACCCGAATCACTACCGGGTGGAGAATGTGTATAGATTACCGCCGCCTCAATGCTGTGACCAAGAAAGACCATTTCCCGTTGCCGTTCATTGATCAGATTCTCGACCGTCTCTCGGGCCATCAGTTTTATTGCTTCTTGGATGGACTCTCCGGCTACTACCAAGTAGCCATAGCGCCCGAGGACCAACCGAAAACTACCTTCACTTGCCCATTCGGCACATTTGCCTTCAGACGGATGCCATTCGGCCTATGCAATGCACCCGGGACCTTCTAAAGGTGCATGTTCTCCATCTTCTCAGATATGCTTGAGGACTGCCTCCAGGTATTTATGGATGACTTCTCTATTTTCGGTACTTTATTTTCTGATTGTCTCCATAATTTATCTCGTGTGCTTGAAAGGTGTATTGAGTCTAACTTGACATTGAGTTGGGAGAAAAGTCATTTTATGGTGACTAGTGGAGTCGTGTTAGGTCATGTGGTATCGAATCGTGGTATTGAGGTTGATAAAGCAAAAATTGACGTGATTGAAAAACTCCCTCCACCTGTGAATGTGAAAGGGGTTAGAAGTTTTTTGGGTCATGCTGGCTTCTATAGGCGATTTATTAAAGATTTTTCGAAAATAAGCCAGCCTTTGTGTCACTTGCTTGCCAATGATGTACCTTTTGTTTTTGATGATGCATGTGTAGATGCCTTTGATAAATTGAAAAATAAGCTAGTGACTGCACCCATTGTGATTGCCCCTGATTGGTCGTTGCCTTTTGAGATTATGTGTGATGCTTCGAACCTTGCTGTTGGAGCCGTCTTAGGTCAACGAGTTGATAAGTTACTCCGTGTAATTTATTACGCTAGTTTGACCTTAACGGTGCCCAATTGAACTACACTACCACTGAAAAAGAACTTCTGGCAGTAATTTTTTCTCTTGAAAAGTTTAGATCTTACATTTTAGGATCTAAAGTGGTTGTCCATTCTGACCATGCTGCATTGAGGTATCTTTTGAGTAAGACTCAATCGAAACCTAGACTCATTCGGTGGATTTTATTGTTGCAAGAGTTTGATGTCGAAATTCGCGATAGGAAGGGTTGTGAGAATGTTGTTGCTGATCACTTGTCTCGCATTGTTCCTTCTGACTCTTCACTTACACTGCATGAACATGTTGGTATAAATGATTATTTTCCTTATGAGCATGCTAGTGAAGTGACTACCATTCCTTGGTATGCAGACATTGTGAACTACTTGTCGTGTGGAATATTGTTGTCTAACCTCTCTTCCCAAGAGAGGAAACGCTTTGTTTCTGTGTGTAGGAATTACTTTTGGGATGAGCCTTTTCTTTTCAAGATGGGGATGTTGGGTTCGATAGTACCGTACGGGCTGTACGCAGCGGAATTTAAAATTTTTAAAGTAAGTATTTATCGTATAAATACAACACCCGTACATACTAATTGCGAAGTAACTGATCGTCATCTTTAAAACATGCATCATATACAAATTTTGATTTGTTACTATAAAGTAAATACTAGTAAAATATTTACCTAATGTCTTGAACTCCTTCACTATTGATGATGGATGAGGGAATCGGTTCCCGGTTGTAACTTCAACGACTTGAGGTTACTCGCTAGAGGAATCCAAGTGTCTTCCCTCTAAACGTATCCACCCTATGAAGCCCGGTTCCGACGACTTTCCTTCGCTAGTAGAAAAGACTCGGTTTTCTTGTTTAGGAATATTTATGAATTTTATTTGGGAATTTTAAGAACTCTTTCTTGAAGTTTTATGAAGAACACTTTCTTCTCTTTCTAACACTTAGAAATTTAGGATCAAAACCTCTCTCAAATGCAAAACCATTTTTCACATATTTATACTAAACATTTTAGCATAAAATAATCAACATTTAGTAATATTTAAATAAAATCAAATTTTATTTAAATAGTATTTACTAACTTTTGACTTTGAAAATAATAAGATATGTTAAGTAGTTCAAACAACCATCAACAACCATTTTATTATAATCATATTTATTATTTTAATCCTTAAATCATATTTAAAGATATAAATAATAATTGGATAATAAATCTTGAGAATCTTTCTCAAGACTTTATTATTATATCATTTTCCCAATATTATAATAATCATATTATTATTATTTTGGATTTTTGAAATTTAAAATCCTATTTTAAAATTCAACTTTATTAATTTAGTAATTACCTTAATTACTAAAGTAATATCCAAAATGTAATTAATCAATCTTATTGATTAATATATTCCTTTAATTGATATCTAATCAAATTAGATATTTATCAATTAATTCTAACCATTAGAAATACAATCTTTACCTTTGTTCATAATTAGTGTGACCTTTTAGGTTCACCTTAATACTAGTAGTGGGTTTACAACACTTTGTAATTTGAGTTAAATCTTATTAACTCTTATTCATGAATTAACCCTTTAATTTATGAACCCACATATCATGGTAACACCTAGCAAGTAGCATGAATCTAGTATTAAGTGAATAGCGAGTAAACCTATTCCGATTACAACTCCATACATGTAAAATCCTTTCGACATCTAATTTCCCGATTAAGTCTTGGGTATGATTTTGTCGAAACCCAAATTGACTTAATAACTATGATTCTATTTCATGTTTATTAACCCGGTTATGAATCACTATTCATCTCTGCCTTGGCCAAGGACTTTGGATTAATAACTATGAAACACATAGGAAATTCACTTATCTTCATAAGTGTCGAATCCTTTATTGGCCACTAACAAACTTCCATACATATCAACATAATACCCAACTTATCCCTTTAAACGATAGTGCTAGCTACCAAAAGGATAAATCAAAGTAGAATGTAATATGCACAAAGTTACCATTGTGCCTCAAGTCTTAGGATTAGTCATGTACTATTGTAACATGAAAATTCTTATTCGACTGAATAAATTCTTCATTAAGAATTTTCATACGGTCATGTTCAGTGAACTTGTTCTCTAACAAGCACCCACATAAATGTACTTACGTCTTACGCTAATGTTGATGGAATGCAACATTCTTGTCCAACAAGCATACAAACTATGTGCAAGTCTTTTATGGATTATTCGATATCCCATCTCGAAACATCCATCGACTTGGAACTGTATTTAAGATCACGGCTTTCAAGGTATGTTCCATGATCACCATCTCTATGCGCAACCATACCTTATAACCATAAGTGATCTAGGGATTTTATCTTAAGTGCAATTATAAGATAAATGCTTTCTCTTAAGATAAAGAAATGCCTTATTCATAATATAATTCCAATAGACTGTATTTACAAGTAGAATACGTCCAATTAGATTGGAACGCCGGGTACCCTACTCTAACAATCTCCCACTTGCCCTAGTTCCAATCACTCATGTATCTAAGACCCATCTTCTCAAGATGTCCTTCGAACACTTTCTGTGATAAGGGTTTAGTTAAGGGGTCTGCTATATTTTCTGCTGAGTCGACTCGCTCCATCACGACATCGCCTCTACCAATGATTTCTCTAATCAAATGGTATCGCCTCATAATGTGTTTGGATTTTTGATGAGATCTTGGCTCCTTTGCTTGCGCAATAGCCCCATTGTTATCACAATAAATCATTATTGGATCAACAACGGATGGTACTACACCCAACCCTTGGATAAAGTTCCTTATCCAAACAGCTTCTTTTGCAGCATCAGATGCAGCAATATATTCAGCCTCTGTCGTAGAGTCAGCAATTGTTTCTTGTTTGGAACTTTTCCAACTAACTGCTGCTCCATTCAGAGTAAATAAGTATCCAGACATGGATTTATAGTCGTCTTTATCGGACTGAAAACCAGAATCAGTAAAGCCTTCTAGTTTCAGTTCTCCATTGCCGTATACCATAAAGATATCCTTAGTCCTTCGTAAGTACTTAAGAATCATCTTAACGGCTTTCCAGTGTTCTTCACCTGGATTAGACTGATATCTGCTCGTTACACTAAGTGCATGAGCCACATCAGGTCTTGTACATAACATTGCATACATAATGCTACCAATAGCTGATGCATAAGGTATATGACTCATCCGTTCTCTTTCTTCAGGTGTCTTTGGAGACATCGTCTTAGAAAGAGAAATCCCATGACTCATTGGAATATATCCTCGTTTGGATTCTTCCATGCTAAACCGTTGTAGCACCTTATTTATGTACGTCGACTGGGATAGTCCGATCATCCGTTTAAATCTATCCCTATAGATTTTTATCCCTAGGATAAAGGATGCTTCTCCCAAGTCTTTCATGGAAAACTGTTTTGACAACCATGTCCTAGTTGACTGCAACATCCCTACATCATTCCCAATGAGTAGGATGTCATCAACATATAGAACAACAAATGTAACTGCACTCCCACTAACCTTCTTATAAACACATGGTTCATCCGGATTCTTATGAAAATCAAACGTTTTGATCGTTTCATCAAACCGAATATTCCAACTCCTCGAAGCTTGTTTAAGTCCATAAATAGACCTTTGAAGTTTACAAACCATTTGTTCACTCCCATTGGATATGAAACCTTG